CGATAAATTTGGATTTTAATATATCCCCAACAGGTAATTGTGATGAGTTTAATCCGTTATATTGATTAAACTGAGATACTGTTTCTAAACCTGGTGGGGCTTGTAAGTGTTCAAATATTGGGGATGTTACGGGTGTTGATTGTTCCAAATTGGAGTCAGGTAGAGTTGAATCCACTTGCTTCATATCATCAATATTCTGGATAGTAGTTGCTGTTTGAAGTTCTGATATTTCTTTAAAATCTTCAGCGGTCACATTGGTTTGAGTTGTCTTATTATAGTCCTTTTCCTGACTTTGAAAGACTTCCTGTGATTGAGTTGTCCTATCATAATCCTTTTCCTGTACATTGTAAACATTCTCAACATCACTTGTTTGAGTTGTTGACTCATATTCTTTTCCTTGGATTTGAAAATCCAACTCTATCTTATTTGCTTGAGTTGTCTGACTAGAATCTTTCTCTTGGATTTTAGGAACTTCCCCAATTTCATTTGTTTGAGTTGTCTGATTAGAATCTTTTTCTTGGATTTGAAAGTCTTCTCCAATACGACTTGTTTGAACTGTCTGACTATTGTCTTTTTCTTGCATTTGAAATATTCCTCCGATCTCATTTGTTTGATAACCCTCAACATCCTCCAATCCATAAAACCCGTTAACAGGTACTTCATGCCGAACAATATTTAACAAACTCATATTGGAACAATGCAATAATTCTGCAAAAAGTTCACAAATTTTAAATCTTTCAAACCCAAGAGGTACCATTTTACCTATCGTTGTATCTATTTGTCCTGACTTTTAAATTTAATTTGGTTAGAAAACATATATTTCATTTATATACAATTAATTGCATCATACCACTGATTTTGGATTTTCAAGCAACGATTTAAAGTCTCCTATCCGGTTAGCCAATACTCGTAACATATCGCTTAAATCAACAATAGGGTGTGGTTGATGCGGAGACAACGTAGGAGTTGATTCCTCATTAAAATCACTAAAATTTTTCGAAAAATGCAAACATATAAAATGAAATCATTTTATGTTGTGAAAAGCATTAAAGAATGTAGTTTAATAAAATTGGTTTAGCATACCAATTGTTTTTTTGAATTATTTGCATAAGTATGTTCACTCCATTAGTCAAGGTAGATGTTGAATTTGGAGCCTCCAGGTCAAGCATATAATTGACAAGTCGAGTCACAGTTTTTTCACTGTTATAGATACATGTATATTAATTAATATTAAGCATGTGAAACAATTCAAATAAAGCATACCTGATAAGTTCTCTACTTAATGCATTTGGCCCAACGCCACCTTGTTCGGGATTACTCGATTGAGAAATAGTAATCATATCTATTAGAACTTGTGCTGTAGTTGAATGAATCTAGAAACAAAAATAGGACATTAAAATAAAATATCAAGGATAACGAAATACATAATGAATAAATATATTACGTCAGGATCGAGACGTGGATCCAACTGAGAAACTAGTGCTTCAATAAGACCTTCGGAATTCAACCACTAAAGTATAAAATAAATAATAAAATTATTATTGAATAAAATATTAATACGAATCAACCTAGGATTTGATACAATTACCACTAACATCAATAACCCCAGCCCCTTCTGGGTACTCCTCATAGCTAATAAGTTTGAGTAATAAATCCATAATAGCAGATGTCTCCATATGATTTAACATTTTTTTGACAACATTAGGAATAGATTGGATAAATTTTACCATCTAAATTTATCTGCTGATCAGTAATATTATAAATATATATAGTTTAAATTCCAAAATTTGAATCATACCTCAATCATCTTTTTTTGCAAGAATACTGTGTTGACCTTCATAAAATAACTCGCCTGCAAGGAATTTAATGGTGCAGGACGGTCAAGAAATTGCCAGAATGTATTGAGCAAATCTACATTATCAATGACAGCTTCGCAAATAGCCCAGATTTCGCAAGAAAAGACTTCGCACGCAACGTATGGATATCTTTAAGGAATATAATTTATATCCACAAAACAACAATGATAAAACAATAAGTATTTTATCAATCTGCTAATATGTGCTAGTTTATGTCAGAATTGACATACTTGAATCTTTGTCTCTCGTCTAGATCTTCACGAATTATATAATTCAACAATTGAGAAAGGATTATCGGATCGCGGAGGCTATTATACGATAAGTAATAAATAAAATGTTAAGGATAATCTATTTTTCCTTTGTGCGCCTTCTGTTGATATATATATAGCGCTGAAATCCTTGCTACTTAGTTGAAATGACATTAAATGGTTTTGTTTAGTCAAAAAAGGATACTATTCAACCAGTTTGTTATTGTGCGCTTTGCATTCTTGGAGCAAATCATCCTCGTCCAGCAATTCCTCTAATGTAAGGTCCTCTTTATCCAAAAGTCCATCAATTGCTGAATTTATGCCAAATCTCCAGAACATTTTAATCGCAATTAAGTTGTTGATCGGAAAGCTTTATTTTTTTTGAATATGTAAATAGATAAAAGCTTCCATAATTACTAGTTTTTTTTGAATTACAGTATTACACGATATCAATGATGTCATCAGAGGTAAGCCCTAGTGACAATCAAATTAATGTATCACATTACAAAGGTTTATCGATATTGAAATCCAGCGATATACTGTGACGCATTTTTGATAAGCAAAATATCTCAACTAAAATAAATTTTATTTTAATTAGATTTGTATAGAGATTGTACCCGTCAAGAAAATTTCTAAATTTCTACCCGGGTATTATTAAATTATCCGGCTATCCGGGTAATTTATTATACCTTATAATAATGTCTACCCGGGTACAATCTCTAGATTTGTAGAATCATAAAAATATATTTATTAAAGTGGTTAAGATATTTTTTGTATAGCAAAATTTTTATAAATTGACTTAAAGTTTGTTTAAGTTAGGTTGGTGTTAAGGTTTGGATTTGAGTTTAGCAAATTGTTCAAGAAAAATTTTTAATTAAAGCACTAAGAGCGATTTCTTAGTTGAATTTTCAGAAACCGATGTTGTTTATACGTACAGTATGTTATATCTAAGGGTACACTTATGTTCTGCAAATTCGGTCCCTTCCGGGTAGGTCGGTACCAATAAAATGATAATAAAAACAAAGAAAAAAGCTAACAACCCGCAGCTAACAAAATTTTATTATGGTAACTGCTTTCTGATTTGAAACTTTCAAAATAAAATTATATATAGAAGAGGCAAAAATACCGTTCCTGATGGATTGTCGGTACTGTTCCTGATAGGGTGGGAAAAAAAATCTGTTTTACATACCATTCCTGATAAAGTTCTAAAAAAAGGCTCCAAAATACTATACTATATACTATAATAGAAAAAAAAGGTTAGGTTAAGGTCGTTTTTAGAACCCTATTAGAAACAGTACTCAAATTTTTAACTCCATCAAGATCGGTATTGCCGATCCATCAGGAATAGTAATTTTGCATAGAAGAGTGTTGCTAACTTGCCCCCTGGTGACATTAACCACCAATTATTCACAGGATCTTGTGTAACAAAATAAATAAATTTTTTAAAAAAAGAATATTGCTATTTATCACCAGTAGTGATATCACTAAGAATACTGTACTATATCTTAAAAACCTATATACTAGCTAACACATGTTGAAGATACTAAGTAAAAATATTTAGAACTTCCAAAAACCTAACCTTAACAAAGATTTGAACCTTTATATCTAACTTTAACCTTGGTTTAAAATTGCATCCTACTTTTAAATTTGATAAAAGAAATAGAAGATGGTGGTATTGCTATTAACTATGCCAGGATATAGAATCGATTTTACTATTACATGATTTTCTAATGTCTATCAACCAATCAAAAATCAAAATTAAGTATAATATTAAAAAATTCAAAACAAACATTTGCTTTGTAAAAATCATATTTATTATAAAATTTAGTCTAATAAACTATCTTTGAGTCCTAACAAAAAATTTTCTTTGTGCAATTTTGCTATGTTATTGTTTTTTTTAACTTTAACCTAATTTTAACCTATATTCTAATCCAAATTAATATTTGTTTTCCAACTATTGTAATAAATATTAAAATTTTTAAAAAAAAATATTGTAAAATGTTATTATCTTTTAAATTGTATACAAACTCAAACAAATTTGTTCTGAATTTTTTAAATATAAATATTTATAATTTAACTTTTTAAAAAATTAAAATATAGGTATAGTAACTTAAAGGGCATCCATAAATAACATTATATATCCCCACATAGAACCTCTTAACCCCCTCTAGATAATATAAAAAAAATTTAAAAATCTGTATATTTTTTATAAAATCTTAATTATCTTGTGACCCAGTAATCCAAATTAGATAAATTTGGTACTATTAGATTAGTCTCAATAAAAGAAATCTAATGATACTAAAATTATTTGATTTGGATTACTGAATCAAAATATATAAGCAAAAAACTGTTAATTATATAGTAACTAGCATTTGATTCGTACCATTGTGAAAATTTTTATTGTAATAGTTATAAATTTGTTAAATTAATATAAAAAAAAATTTAATGAATAAAACTTTAAAAAAAAGTAATATAGTAGAATTAATTATATAATTAAGTTAAGCTAGTAATGGTGCAAAAATAGAATAATTTAAATTATACAGGTTTAGTAAAAAGAGTTTGTAATATATTACAGAAAAGTATACTTCAATTTGTATATATGAATTTTAAAAATCAGATTAGTTAACAAATTTTATTATAAATTTTTCATTTTAAAAAAAACAGAAATACAAAATTATGATGTTACTTTTTATTTTTATATCAAAAATAATAGAAAGTAAGAAAAATTAATGTTTTATTGTATGATACTAAAGTAATAAATAGCAAAAAATAATTGGCACAACTGGAATTTAAATTTAAACTATAATTATAAAAAAAGAACTATTTGCATTATAAAAAATAATATTTTTATAATATTTAATTATTTTAACTATAGTATTAATAAAGGGTGTAACGACTTAGTGAAGTGATAAAGTTGTCACACCTCCAAGTAATAGAGTATAAGTTTAATTCTCACAGAAGGCGAAAAATTAGATGAAAAACATTGGCTTGCACTATTATGGGCCAACGTCAGCTAGATAAGCTGAGAATGGTTTTTATTTAATAGTATTGATTATATAAAATGTAGCACTACTATATAGAGATTAATAACACTAAAACAATAAATATCCTGAAAATTAGCAACAAATATTGCGCTAAAAATCACTATAACAGAGCAAGTAAGAATTAGATAGGCACTGTTAGATTAATTATTAGCCAGTAGTTTTCTACTTGCCGCAGCAAGCCGGCTGTTAAATGACAGAATCAGATGACTAAAGTTTGAGGAGGGATGGGTAGAGCAGAAAAAATTTTTTGAGTTAAAGATCAGATTTTTGCTATGGATTGGTTTGTATTTATATAGTAATATAGTGGCTTGTGTGTAACATTATTGATGTACTCCCATTTTACCTGATTTGGGTTTGTGATCTAATTAAATAGTGCTGGTCATGTGATTGTTGATAATAGTGCCAGTCATGTGATTATTAATAATAGTGCCAGTTATGTGATTGTTAATAATAGTGCTAGTCATATGATTGTTAATAATAGTGCCAGTCATGTGATTGTTAATAATAGTGCAATGCCCAGTTTTTTGAATAGTTAACTTTTTGTCAACTTATACGAAAAACATTGGCTTGCACTATTATGGGCCAACATCAGCTAGATAAGTGAAAATGGTTTTGATTTAATAGTATTGATTACATAAAATGTAGCATTACTATATAGAGATTAATAATACTAAAACAATAAACATCCTGAAAATTAGCAACAAATATTGTGTTGAGAGTCACTGTAACAGAGCAAGTAGGAATTAGATAGGCATTGTTAGATTGATTATCAGCTAGTGGTTTCCTGCTTGCCGCAGCAAGCTGGCTATTAAATGACAGAATCAGATAACTAAAGTTTGAGGAGAGATAGGTGGGGCAGAAAAAATTTTTTGAGTTCAAGATCGAATTTTTGCTACAGATTGGGTTTGTATTTATATGACAATATAGTGGCTTGTATGTGATGTTATTGATGTGCCCCGTTTTACCTAATTTGGGTTTGTGACCTGATTAGATAGTGTTAATCATATGATTATTAATAATAGTGCTGGTCATATGATTGTTAATAATAGTGCTAGTTATATGATTGTTAATAATAGTGCCGGTTATGTGATTGTTAATAATAGTGCTAGTCATGTGATTGTTAATAATAGTATAATGCCCAGTTTTTCAAATAGTTGACTTTTTGTCAACTTACTTGAAAAACATTGGCTTGCAATATTATGGGCCAATATCAGCTAAATAAGCTAAGAATGATTTTTATTTAATAGTATTGATTATATAAAATGTAGCATTACTATATAGAGATTAATAACCTGAAACAATAAACATTCTGAAAATTAGCAACAGATATTGCGCTGAGAGTTACTGTAACCGAGCAAATAGGAATTAGATAGGCACTGTTAGATTGATTATCAGCTGGTAGTTTTTTACTTGCCGCAGCAAGCTAGCTATTAAATAACAGAATCAGGTGACTATTCTAAAGAGATAGATAGATTCTGTTATTTTAAAGCTGGTGTGGTATAAGATACTTTGGTGTGTTAATCTGTTA